CTGTCACCACTCATAAGCTAGGTTAAACCCCCGCCCTGGTATCTGTGAACAATACTAGTGACTGTATTCCCAGAATACTTCTTTGACTACCTTCCTGTTTTGTTACTTGTGATTCAGCCCCATCACTTTCACCTTCATATTCAAAGTCAACGGGACCATTGTCACACACCGACAATGACACACAGGTTGGGTGGACAGGCAAATATGATAGAGATACAGAGGCCTGAAACCTTGCAAAGATGTCTGCTAGACTTAAAAGCAAACTAGAGGTGTAAAGATCATAATGAAGCCTGGATCAATTCCTTATAACCCTCAGGGTGTTTGAGGTCCAGAGCTTCGATTTGGCATTTGCAGAAAGGGGTAAGTAAACCAGGAACTCTTCAAAATTTTCAGTTTCAAGGAAGACAACAAAAGCCTAAATGAAATAGTGTCAGAAGATTGCTTTTCATTTCCAGCTGCCACACAGCTTACAATAAGAGTTCATCATTGGGTTTGGACAATCTGTGCTGCAAAGGAAATTCAACTCAAAAAGGGCAAAATAGTCTCTAACTCTGCTCCCTCTCAAGAGATGACAAACAGAAATTACGATCCCCTACTTCCTTCACACATTGAAAGACAAGATGCATTATTCTCTGGCTGCTTTTACTCAATTTAAGTAATTATTTTGCATTTCTCCTCTCTTTGCTCTCTCCATGATCCACTAAATTTGAATGCAGAATGCAGGTGCCTGTTGGGTGGGCTGCCCTTGTTCCTAGCATCCAGCAGATCCCTAAGCAGGTCCAAAGACTCCACAGACTTTAAAAGCCACATCAAGTGAAGCCTTCACATTCGGAGAAGGAGAATTAAATTGTCTCTAAGGTTTTGAGAGCACCTCAGAAGCACTATGCTAATGATGCAAATTGCAACCTGATTTCTTGCCTCTATCAGGAGGCAAAGCAGTTTGGAAATAATTTTCAGATCTGACAGTCCCTCCAGGCTAAAAACTGCAGTTGAGGGCTTTTAAAGCCCATCTTTAATCAAGATGACAATTTCCTAAAAGGACGACTCATTTTGTCTCCTCAACAAAGGTAACGGGAAAGGAAACTGGTTGTTTGTTTTTTTTTTAACAAGTTGGAAAAAGAGAAAATAAAGAAACTATAAACAGCAGCAAAACCAGTCCCAGTAGAAACCACAAGCCCTGCAGCAAAACACTGGGAATCTTCTCAGCTAAAGTTCTCCCATAGACACTCATCTTTCTTGCTTTGGACTAACTCTAAACCTTGGATTGCTGCTGTCCTAAGAGTGTCTGGACTTCCCAACAATAAGGTTAAATTTTGTCATGGATTTTATCTGACCACCTATTTTTCTTTCGTGCACAGGTTTGCTATGATTGTCTCTCAATCAAATGCATGCTTAATTGTGTCACTCACAGACTTGAAACCCTGTGTACCTACATGTTATAGTAGGCCAAAATCACATGCTGAATTTTCTGAAATCCTATTCAGCTGCCTTATTGCAGACCATGGTTCATGGAGCACATTTTGGCCGTTATTAACGCTGCCTTTCAGCATCATCACAGACCCCCAGATCACACATACTCCAAAGACGGGTAGTTAACAGGGAGCAAGAACCGTCTGGGCATATGGCTAAACAAATCAGTCATCAGTTCGGTGGGACAGCTTTCATTTCCATCACAGCAATCTGCTGGACCCCAGAACTGTTTTTACGTGGTTCATTAGACAATAGCCTTTCTTGCTACTACTTGGGTCAAGAGTCAAAATTGCTGTGTAATTGCAAGTCTCAGAGCACAAGGCAAGACTTTTTCAGTCCTGGAGGGTGTTGTCCAAAAGGGAAAGAAAACAGAGGGGAAAGATTATGTGTGCGCAATTGAGTCCTACTGAGAGGGGGGAAAAAAAAAAAAAAAAGTCACTGAAACTGGGATTAGCCAAATCTTGTAATGGAAAACAAGAGTCCTGTTGGTAAGCTGGCACTTACACCTAAGAGATGTGAGTGCTGGGGAAAAGGAGCTCAAAGGCTGGGTCAAAACAGACCAGAAGAGGTGATTAAGCAGCATCTAAAGCCAAGATATGACGGTTGGACCTTTTCAAGCATTTAAGTCCTTGAGTTAATTAAGCACGTGGCAAAAGCAGCCGTAAAAAAAGAACAGTTCCCAACTTAATCACAGTACATTATTGGAAATTATACTAAGCAACCTCAGTAGAGAAGCACAGTAAACATCAAGTCAAGCTAAATAGCTCAGTTAGGTTATTAATAATAAATCACAGCCACTGTTTCTTTTGTTTGCCAACAACTAGCATAGTTTATGGCTCTGCACAAACTTAACACACCACTTTATCACATTTCAGAGAGTGCATCCTCCTAAAATGATAATGTGCTAATAATCTATGCTGGGCCTTTTGGCTGAAACCAAAGAGCTCAAACAACTTGAAATAACATCAGCAAAAAATTACTTATTCCCATCCTTCATTGCAGAGAAAACAGAGGTTTTCTTGGCTCAGTTACTTCTCAATAGATTTCTGGTTTCAATTAAAAGTTTGAGAAGTTAAAAAAAAAAAAAAAAACCACCCAGCAAACAAAGCCAATAAGAGATTGAAGAGAAGCCTTCATTCACTGAGTGTTCCTTTTTTTTTTTTTTTTACCCTGGTTTTACATAACCCTTCAGAGCAGAGATTAAAGTACAACTTCATTGTTTAGAAGGTGGCTTTGTGCGGGGTTTCTTTAACTCCTTTCAGCTAAAAAAAAAAAACCCCAGCCAAACAAACAAACCAAATGGAGAAGAAAGAAAAGTTTCACCCTTGAGTGGAAGGAGCTTCTGACTGAGGGGAGTCATCTCAGCGAAGGCCGGAGAGGTGTGTGCGTGGGGCGGCCGCTAGCATGTTTTCCGTGATACGCATTTTTGCCCTCCTGTCCGCGATAAAAGGTCCTAGACACTTGTTTCCTCAGCTCCGTGCTACCGCTGACCAGCGTTAGACAGCTGATAATATCATAACTGTAGCCTGCACCAAGTTAGTCCTGGCTGCAGGGGCAGCCTGATCAATAATTGTTCCCATTTGTGTCCATAATCCCCATCGCCGGGCTGGATCTGCCAGCAGCCCCTTGCCCCTGGCATGCTCCTGCTGATGGGGAAGGTCCGGGTGACTCGCCCAGGACTAGTGGGCTCCGGCTCCCCGCTCGCCCTCCGCGGGTTGACAGATGGGGGCACAAGGCGGCAACGCGGCTAATGAAACACCTCCGCGGGCGGGGGAAGAAGCCCTGCACGGCTTCCCCCCGATCCCACCCCTCCTTTTCCCTTCCTACTTCTCTTTTTCCCTCCTTCCCTCCCCACCGGCCGCATTTGCTTGTGGCGGACTCCTCCCAGTGCCCGGCTCTGCTCGCCGCGCTCCCAGCACCTCCGTCTCTTTTAGGCATCCCTCAGCACCAGCATGAAGGGCAGTGCTCCCCTTTAACCCTCCCATCCCCTCCCCATGCACCTCCACTGCGCATTCACGTCACCCCAATGGGAACCCCTAGGGACCATAAACCCTGCCGGGGACGGAGAACCTGTCCTCTGGGGAGGGGGTTACAGGGTTGGGGAGGGGGTCCCCAACGCTCAGCTACCCCCGCAGGGTCCGTCTCCAGGCGGCGAATTGCCCTTTTAGCATCAGCCGTCAGGCCCGAGATTATCAGCGCCGTTTATTTGAAGCGGAAACGAATCGGAAATCCTTCTCTCAACTGCCTTTTTCGACACATAAATACACACAGATGGAGGCAAAGCAGTGCAGGGGACACACAGTGACCGGTGTGATGAACGCTCACTCACACTTACACACAAGGGAAAAAAGGGCGGGAGGGGGCTCCTGAATCGACGGACGGACGCTATCTCCCAGTGCCCCCCACGGGAGCCCGGCGAGGTCCGGGCGTGTGAGCACGAAGGTGGGCAGCGAGCCTTGTGCTGGGGCTGGAGGTGACAATAGCCACCCGCAGCTGCAGGCTGCCTCCCCCGCAACCCTAATAATATCCAACACTACACCCCTCCCCAGTAATACCATATTTTCAAACCTCCCAAAGCTGAACTCCACTTCCACCCGTTGCGGGGGTGGGCGGGTGAGGGTATATAGAGGACACCGGGGTCCTGGGGGCGGCAATCACCAGGTTATTAATAATCATTAACGCGCCTTACCGAGCAAGTGGGAGAGGGGGGATCCCGCGTTAATAATTCTTCCCCCCCCCCCCCCCCCTTTTTTCCACCCTTCACCCACACACACTTCTTTTCTCCTGCAAATTGCCACTCTTCAGAGCTGTGTGCCCTTTTCAATGTCAAAACAACCGTGGGGCTGCCCCGGGGCACCCCACTTCCCTCAGTGCAGACCCTGCACACTCACACACACTCGGGCACACGCACACAAATCCCCATAAGGTTTCGATGTTGCTCTCTAGCTCCACTTAACCTGCAATTTAAGAAGCTTGGGTTGGGGGGGGGGGGGGGAGAACGACACTCTTCCACTCTTCGCCCCCCCCTCCTCCCCCTTTCCACACGCACACATCGCTGCCACCTACCCCCGGCACTCTCGGGGAAACATACCGGCTACCAAAGCGGCCTCGATAAAGGGGTAGGGGGTAAATACATTATGAAAACTCCTACAAAATACTGCAATCCCTTGCCAGCAGCACGGTTTTATACCCCTCTACCCTCCCAACCACACAAATACACTCCCCCACCACCACCAGCCACAAAGCATGGGGAGAGAAGGGGTCAGAGAGGGAGAGAACTCGCATGCATTGCACAGCGGAGAAATATTTCCCCCCCTCCAATAAATAAAGCCCTTTCCGCGCCATTGCAAAGTCACAACACGATAAAAAAGAGAAGACATTAACTTTTACATGCAGAAGAGAAAAAGGAGGGGGGAAAAAGAGAGAGAAAGAGAGGGGGGTGAGACCCCGCAATCCGGATCATCAGACAGACCTTTCCTCGATGGCTCAGGTTTTTCGTTGCCCCCCTTTGCCCCCCCTTCTTTACTAACCCATATCCCCAAAACGGCAGCTGGGGTCTTCTTAGCAGCTTCCCCTTCTTCTTTCTTCCTTTTCCCTCGGATTCCCCCTTTTCTTGTGTCTTCTCTTTAGATCCCGGTTTCAATCCCTCGCCACAGCCCCCAAAGGTGCTTTTGCTTGTGTTGCGGCAAACCCATGGCGGTGTTCATCTGTCAGATTAGGGGAGCGCACGGCCGCGCAGCACACGCAGAGCGGAGAGGGAGGAGGGCGGAGGGGGAGGAGGGAAGGCACTCGGGGAGAGGAAGGTGGACGGACAGACAGACGGATAGATAGCTCGGCAGATAGATGATAGATATAGATAAATAGAGCAAGATAGAGCGAGAAGGAGGAAAATGGCGTCTTGGAAGCCGGAATCCCGGAGTAAATCAAATTAACACGCAACACCCAGAGCAGTCCCGGCTAATTTTAGCAGGATCCGAAATAAAATTAAAAAGGAAACGGGGGGAAGGTGGGTAGGAGGAGAAGGAGGGAGGGGGGTGAAAGAAAGGAGGACGGGGGGAAGAAGAAAAAAAAAGGGGGGAGAAAAAAAAAAGAAGAAAAAAAAAATCAATGCACTGGATAAAATCCTGGATTTGAAATCGATGGAGCTCGTCCCTGGCTCTCTCGCTTTTTCTTTTCCTTCTTTTTTTTTTTTTTTTTTTTGAGGGGGATTTTTTGCTCTCTATTTGTTGCTGTTGGTTGTTTGGGTGCCTTTTGAAGCGGGGCGAAGAAGGGGGAGAAGCGTTTTCGGTTTTGCTTTTCCCGGCGGGGAGTTTTTTTTAAAAATAATAATGGGGGAGGAAAAAAAATAGCAAGAAAAGAAAGAAAGAGCAAAACCCCGCGACGAGAACAGGGCTGCTTTGGAGGCGAGGAAGCTGTTCCCTTTATTCCGGCTGCTCTCTGGTCGCCGGAGCGGGCCCTAGCTGGTGCCGGAGCTCCGGCGGGATGCGGGGCTGCGGCCGCCCGCTCCCCCCGCCGGGCCGCGCAGAGGGAGAGAGGGAGGGAAAAAGGGAGGGAAGGAGGGGAGGAGGGCAAGGGGAGGCGGGGGAAACACCCCCTCTTTCTAACGGGCCGGGATCGGTGCTCACACACAGGCAGACACACTCACACACATCCCCCCCTCCTCCTCGCTGAAAGTACAGCCTCGAAAGGGTGCGTCCGGGGGCTGCTTTTTGCTCCCCGCTGGATTTTCCTTTCTCTGCCTTTTATTTTGCTTTTGGATCTGGTTTTGCCCGCTCTCTCCTTCTCCCTCCTTTGCAAGGGGCGGCGAATTAAGCAGATCTGGGGGCTTATGGGTCCGTGTCTCTCTTTTCTCTGCTTCAATCACGGAGTCCTGCAGCACTGGGGAGGGAGGGAAAGAGCGAAACGGGGGGGGGGGGGGGGGGATAAATGGTAATGATCAGGCGCGCACGCACACACATAGAGCCGCACAGACACACATTCGGTGCCGCTGCAATGCTCAGCCCTGGGTTAATGTACTCAACAGTGCCACTACCTGACACAACAGCAGCAGTGATGGGGGCAGGGGAGAAAAGGCAAAGAAGGTGAAATTCAGGTTAGTGGAATTTATCCCACTCCAATCCCAGTTTTCCTCCCTTATCCACCCCCCCTTCAAAAAGAAAAAATACCCTTTTCACAGCACAACCCCTTCAGGCTCATGACCAGTGTGGGAGATTTTGGGGTTTCAGTGAGTGCTGTTCAGAGCAGAGGTGAGGAATCCCTCTCTCGGGCTAAGGGACATAAGCAAGGACTCCCAACACCTATTTTAAGGATTAAAGGCCACCCTTACTCCCAACCTTTCAGTATGAATCAGTAACAGTACCCAAAATACAGCACAAATTCAGCTCCTGGCCAGTGGAGCTGCACAAAATATAAGTCCTTGGGCTTTTGCTCTCCCACCCTTGCTCTGCCAGTGGTCTAGTTCATGCTGCCACTTGGGTTGCTGGTTTGGCAGACCTTTTATTCACAGGAGTACATTGTTGTCTTGCCTGAGTAGTTACAGAGTCACAGAGTCAACTGTGTTAGAAAAGACTTTTAAGATCATCGAGTCCAACCGTTACCCCAGCATTCCCAAAACCCCAATAAACCATGTCACTGAGGGCCTGATCTACACAATTTTTGAACACCTCCAGGGACAATGTCTCCACCACTGACCTGGGCAACCTGTTCCAATGCCTGACCACTCTTTCGGTGAATGAATTTTTCCTAACGTCCATCTAAACTTCCTTTGGCACAGTTCGAAGCCATGACCTCCCATCCTATTGCTTTCTACTTGGGAGAAGAAACCAGACACCTCCTGGCTCCATTCTCCTTTCAAAGCTATAAGGTTCCCCTAAGCCTTCTCTTGTCCAGACTAAACACCTCCAGTTACCTCAGCCATTCCTAATCAGACTTGTGCTTAAGGCCTTTCACCAGCTTTGTTGCCCTTTTCTGGACCTGATTAAGACTCTGGGGAGACTAAATCACACAGGGGATGAGGAGAAACCCCCAGGAAAGGGGGGTTTGTGGGGTGAAGCTGTGGAAGTGTACTTATAAGTGAAGGTATTGTTAAAGGGGAAGCAGATAGCACCCCTTTGGTATAGGGTGAGTATATCCCATGGTGCCACAGCAATCCCTGTCCCACAGTATTATAGGAGGTTCAAAGTACACCAAGTTTCTCCCCTTTGCACTGAACAATTGGTAACTGCAGGCCGTTATCCAAGTGACCTGAATTCAGGTTTGAGCTGATGCAAGGACTACCTAGGTTGAACCCCACCAGCCATGGCTTCACAATCCCTCAGAAGTGTGGCAACAGATCTATGACACAGATCCCATTTTCAGGCTGAGCAGGAGAGCTTTGTGCAGCCCACAAGATGCCAGCATAGCCCTCATCAGCCCTCAGCAGACTCAGCTACATGGGTGAGTCTGTCCCCTTAGCCCCATCATGCTTCCTCATCCTTTCTGGGTAAAGCTCCTAGATAAAGAACACACCAAACCATTAATTCCCTTTGGATCTCTGCATATGTCTGCTGTGATGCCTACAAACCCCAGACTGATGGGTAGAGGCAACAGGCTCTGCCCGTCCTTCTCTCATGGTCCTTTCCTCCCACTTCCCTCCACAAACAAAAAGTAAAATAACCAAAAAGCTCAAATGACCAACAGATCACCCCCACCTCCATCCCAAACAAACACGCAACTCAAAAACTTCTGAATCAGAAATGCCACACTGAAAATGTTGATTGAAACCAAATAAGAATTGTCATTTTGAATCAGTGATTTGGCATGGGAGGGAGGCTTGTTTGTTTAAGTTAAATCACCCAACTGGAGCTATATTGTGTCATTTCCTATCTGAATGAAACAAACAAAAAATAGTTTCAACGTTTCTTGGCAGAGCTGCCAGTGACATTTTTCTGGCTTTTGGTTTCAAAAACTCTCAGCAGGTAAGCTCTGTGCATTGAAGAGCTCCATTGGCCATCATCTTCCCCTTTGGAATGAGCCAGCACGTGGTTATGAAATAGTTAGTTTGATTGGATTAACACAGAAAAACAAATTATGGGAGAAAAAATAAAAAAGGAAAAAAAAGAAAAAATATCACTTTTTATTTTCCTTTATTAGAAAATAGTGTTTTATTTAATCTAAGAAGCTTGGGATAAAAAGTGGTTTGTGAGCTTCTGCTCATTTTCTTTTATTTGTTTTCTTCTGGAAAGTATACGTATATATACAACTGTGTTTAAGCAGCCCTACTTAAATAATTTCAAACTGAGAAGTTCAATTTGTGAAGCAATCAAAATAATGACATATTAATGCTGATTTATTTTGAAAATAGGGGGGAGTCTAAAAAAAAAAAAATCATAAAAAAGCCAGAAACTGACTAAAGGAAGTTTTGAGTGGCCCAAAATTATTTTTAGGCAATGCATATTGTATATACATTACATACATATGTATATTACATACACAAAAATGTACATTTTTAGGCAATGTATATTGCCTAAAATATGTATAACTAGGCAAAAAATTAGCACCTGGTTACCTGTGCACCTCAAACTCTGAAAAGACCTGTCAGGATAAACTTTATCATAAGCAGAAAAAGACCCATTTCATTGTATGGTCACCTTGTGTGTGCATAAATCATTGTGGATCAGGGTTTACATCAAAGGTTTTCTTAGCTATGGTTTTATCTTCTAGATCTAGAATGTTTTTCTTTTGTAAGAAAAAAATCTCTTCCATTAGAGTCTCTGTGTGTCAGGGAGTTCATGCAGTGTAAGTGGATAATCTGAAAAAGAAAATTCCTTCTCTTTGTTCTTTTCACTTAAAAAATACTTTGGTATTCATAAAGTTGGTTTGATTCCTGCAGCAGACCTGATATGAGTTTTCTATTTGTGTGTAACAAGCTGTACGTAACCTTGACTGCATGAGACAAGCAGATGTTTTTTAATGAAGGCCATGAGACTGGTTTTTTTTTATATGAATAGCATATTGAGTTAAATACGTCTTAAGTATGTCTTTCTAGGTTCAAGGTATGAATTAATGTTAGGCAGAATTATTGGATGATTTGTAAGTTAATGTGAAAGAAAGTATAAATTGAAAAGCGCACAGTAAAATACTGGGAACACTTAATATGATTCAAAAATACAAACAAATCATTAAACCCAATCATTTACAATTGTATTGAATACACAAATCAGATCAATTTTCTTATGTGTTGTAGCATGTCAGCTGTCTAGCACACTTCTGAGCTTTACATAGAGGATTGCATATCTATCTATCTGTTTATGAATCAACTACCTTTTTATCTATATACACACATGTAAACTCAGACATAGAGTTGTTAGCAATTCATTGTATCCCACTACAATGTAAGGGATGAGCAACTATATTTCGAGACAGCCAAAAACAGGGCAAAATGTACATCAAGCCTCCCATTTTTTGCTCAAGAATTGGAAGTCAAACTGTTTAACAATTGCCCCCAAAATAGAAATAATAGTGACTTTCAGAGTTGCCCTTTTATTTTGTAAATCCCTCAGACATGTATTACCGAGTTTCAACACTGTTATGAGAACAATGGCAGGCAAGAATCAAAATTCAGGGCCAAGGGATTGGAAACCAAGTGCAAAATCAATTTTAGAAGATATAAATCCCCCCTTTTGGTTGATTTTCCATGTGTTTATGATATTTATTCCCCCAGAATCCGCAAACAATTTCTCCTATATATTATTTTGCTAACAGACTACTATGATCCATATCTCAGCTTCTTCTTGATATTGACAAAGACTGTGCCATGCTCATCACTATCCAAGAACAAAAGAAAAAGATCTTGTCTCCAATTTTTCAACTAGGACAATTAGAAGAAAACCTTGGTATCTTAGCAGCTTTATATTACAGCGTGGGAGATTATCACATGGAAGCATCAGGTTCAAGTCCAGATTTTTTTACATCAAGCTCTTTCTGCAGCCTTCTTGCCCCTATGGAGCCAGTGACTAAACATTTCTCTGCAATCAGGCAGCAAACAAAAGTTGTAAGG